TGATGGCTTGTGCGAATACAGCTGGTGACTATGTTTTAAAAATAAAAATTTACTTGTCCTGCTGTGTTTCTTTAGAAATCAAGTTCTAAAGGTTCCGTTTTGGAAAACTATTATCAATATACATATAAGTACTACAAATGTATTTAAACAATATTAATTGTGAAAAATCAGTAGCTTCTGATGTAATGTAGACCACGATTCTCCAAAGTTGCCTAAATGTAGAAAAATAGTTTTCCAGACACTGCTCCCTTTTAAAAATGATTTTTGATGGTAAATCTATAACCAATATGACAGCATCGAAAAAAACATACTGTTAAAAAAATTGACATCGTTCTCCATCTTTCCTCTTCTATGTTGTAATCCTTCATTTTATTGCCTCCACTATTTCAACACATGATGTGCTTAGCAATNCTCCATTTTAATTTCAGCTGTAATTATTCTATCACTTCTATGGTTTATGACAGCTACCTTATGTGTCATCGTTGGGCTGACCAATATGGCATTACCAGAGATGACGTTCTTGCTTTTTCTTATCCGAATACAGTATCATATACTCTCTGTAATCTGATGACAGTTCGGGCGCGTGTATTGTAAGGTTAAAAATCCAATGGTACTCATAATATCAGAAAATCCGTAAATTTTCAGATTGCATCAAGTCTAGAATCTTCGTAAGCCAAACTAGTTATTCCAAGTTTTGTACGACTATGTCTACTCATTGAGTAGTACTTTAAGATATGGTTACGAATTACTGCATTAGGAGAAGTTATGTTTCAGTGGACTATGTCAACTATACCATGCTGCAGTTCCTCGTTCTTGAGAGACTAAAGTTTAAGTTTATTACTGAGAATAACGTATATGCAAAGAGCCATTTCTTTGCCCCTGCAGCGATAGTGGGTGTGGGAATAAGCAAAACGTATAGTGTAGACCATGAAAACTGCAATTTCTGGTTCTTCAAAAAATATTTTTGACCTTTATGGTCTATCACTGAAATATCTCCTAAGAAGTTCTCTCTCCATTTCTTATGTGCCCTGGTGGTCTGGTTTCATACGGGTTATTTGTGAACACATTTATCTCCAGTTTGTTATGTATGTTGTGCTGTCTTCCCCATCTTACAATGTCCTGAACTCCGCATTGGTCTCTGATGTTGGCGTTCTTAATTTTGTCACATCTGGTCTTTCCGAGATTATCCTCAGGGTCTAAGATATGGCTAAGAGTTACTGCATTATGAGAGATTATGTTGCACTATGTCAATTATACCATATCTTCCAGAAACTAAACTGAAAAACGTCTTTTAACAGTTAGAAGAGAGTGGTTTCTTCAACTTCGCTCGAATACCAAAATCAGAGAATTCCGAAAAGTTTTTCTGACATCGAAATATATACAGATGCATAGAAATAACAAGTAATTTATGACTAGATGTCTGTTTCAGAACAAGATGACTCATATTCGGAAACCTGTCTTGCATTAATCATAATGAAAAATCCAAGAAGTAGATAAAATACTTGAGTTGTAGTGTAAGTATCGCACAATGCCCTGCAAATTATTTTTGTGGTATGTATATGTTGATGTAAAAGCTCGAACTACGGTAAATCTTAGGTTTAACTAGTAAATCTTAAGATTTACCAACATGAGTGCAACATATCATCATGGTTCTACAAATGGAGAGTCACCTCCGATCCGGATAAATTCCAACTATTGTTCCCACACTCCAGAATCACCGATCAATTCCAGCACTTCACTTACACATCAATTATAAAAGCTACAAACTTGATCAAATATTTGGGCATAATCCTGGACAACAAGTTGAAATTCAAAGCACACTACAAAAAAATACAAACAGAGGTAACAAGACGAGCAAAACATTTTAGATCATTGACCTACAAAGACAGGGGTTTTTCTNTCTGAATGCAATTCTTGTGCTGCGAACGACTTGCTATCTTTTCATCTTTCTGTAGGTCGCCCCTTTTGTATACTGGTCTGCAATCTGTGGCTAATCTTAGCAATATATTGTGAAGCATGCTCGTTCCAGAGTCTCCTAGGTGCACGAATCCAGTTTACCACATCTTTCTTCCAGAAACTAAACTGAAAAACGTCTTTTAACAGTTAGAAGCGAGTGGTTTTTTCAACATCACTCGAATACCAAAATCAGAGAATTCCGAAAAGTTTTTCTGACATCGAAATATATACAGATGCATAGAAATAACAAAGTGTTTATGACTAAATGTCTGTTTCCGAACAAGATGACTCATATTCGGAAACCTGTCTTGCATTAATCATAATGAAAAATCCAAGAAGTAGATAAAATACTTGAGTTGTAGTGTAAGTATCGCACAATGCCCTGCAAATTATTTTTGTGGTATGTATATGTTGATGTAAAAGCTCGAACTACGGTAAATCTTAGGTTTAACTAGTAAATCTTAAGATTTACCAACATGAGTGCAACATATCATCATGGTTCTACAAATGGAGAGTCACCCCCGATCAGGATAAATTCCAAGTATTGTTCCCACACTCCAGAATCACCGATCAATTCCAGCACTTCACTTACACATCAATTATAAAAGCTACAAACTTGGTCAAATATTTAGGCATAATCCTGGACAACAGGTTGAAATTCAAAGCACACTACAAAAAATACAAACAGAGGTAACAAGACGAGCAAAATATTTTAGATCATTGACCTACAAAGACAGGGGTATTTCTGTAAAATCGGCGAGACAGATATATAAAAATATATGCCGATCGCTCCTCGATTATGGACATCTCACAACTATATGTTCCCCGGAGTCAACAAAGGAAGTAATCAGGAAAGCAGAAAGAAAATGTTTACGAATTCTGACAAAAATTAGACACCCGAACAATCTACTCTACAACATAAACTATGAGAATCTATATTTAAGAAAGGAAATAAAACCAATTTCAGTGAGGCATAAAATACTGAAAGAAAAATTCTCCAAAAATGCCTAGCAAGACACCCTACATCAGATGTGCAAGACTCGAACCTAAAACATTATACATGTTATTTTTTTTCGCTATAAAACTGGTATATAAATGTCTTTTTTTCGACATTTACCGCAAGGTAAAAGCTAAGATTTACCGAGTGGATGGTGGTAAAAGTTCGAATTGAACGATGATGATAAAACATTTCGGACTTTTACCATTTATAGTTGGTAAATGTTAGGTTTTACGGTAAAATCTTAGAATTTACCGTAGTTCGGGCTTTTGCAGTAACATCTAGAAAAATGGTGAAGGCGCCGGTAATATTTCTTCCTTTTTATTTTTGATTATGAAATAAATTTAATTCAATAAATCATTTTTAGAAAAAATTTATTTATAAAATTGAATAGTTAAAAAAATAATAATTACAAGTCTTTTATAGTAGTAAATAATACCGCGATCAATGCAGAGACCTCGCTGTTAAATCAAAGGAATGTAACAGTAGACGATTAGAAAGTAAACAGCGCGCGTTCATGGTCACAGATAATTTAGAACCGCTACAAATGATACGTTTTTTTTTGTTAATTACCACCTTTTTCCTATCGACACACCGACTAATAGAAGGTCACAATATTGTGAGGCCGTTGTCCTTTACCGGTCTAAACTTAGATAACATCTAATCTTATAAAGATAATATTAAAAAAAAATTAACACACTTAAATTTACGAAAAATCATTTTAAATTTCGTTAAAAAGCAACTTATTAAGATCGTGCTAATGACCTCTAGATTAGAAGTAACTAAAGAATTTTCACCGGGACGAGATGCAAAAAAGAGAAATCGCGACTCGTTATCGAATAGAGAGTTATTGTGGACGGTCGCGAATTAAAAAAAAAATAAACGGTTTTTTTTTCTGGCGAAAAAGTAGGTTGCGCGGACCTATCCCAAAAGAGACGGCTATACCAGAGGTTATGGTGGAAGAGAACCATAACCACCTCACCACACACGGTGTGCGAAATTTATTTTTTTAGCAAACAATCGGTGTATATTATAAATTCGCGACAAAACTTCAAACCCAATGTATGTTTAGAATTTTAATTAATAAAACGAATAAATTTATTGTACTAGGTAGTCAATGAGAGTATTTATTTATGAATATTTATAAATTATAACTAACTAAAATTTATTTGTTAAAACAAGATGTTTTAAAAATAATAAAGTTAGTAATAAAAATAAAACTTTATTAATAGAAATTATTGACATTATGAATGCGTTTTGTATAAATGAATCGGGAATTACCAATATAAGCGTATAAGGTGGTACTAATAAATCAAATGTCACGGTCGTGCATACACCTTAAGAGTGTTAATTAGCGTGCATTGAGCAATAATCGTTCGGAATGGGTTTTCAATTTTACTACATTTATCTACATTCATCGTAGGTTTCGAATAAATTATTTAATTTTCAACGAAACGATTATTTCATACCACAAAAAATTTTTTTATTACTCACTTAATTGCTTTTTATCGATAATTTTGCTTAAGGCACTTAATTTTTTACTGTTTTAAAACAATTAACAATTAAACAAAAGTGAATCAAGGATAAACGAGGCGAACAACTCGTTCATAATTACCAATTGGTGATGTAACTTGGAGGAAATGATAAATAAACGACCCCAATAAAAAATGTTATGGTAATCTATGGTAATAATAAAAATATTTCTTTGCATAACTTGGTATTGAATTAGATATACTTAAAAATACAATAATAAATTTTTATAAGAATTATTATTATTAGTTTAATTTAGTTTTTTGGTTTCTTTTTTTGAGAAGAAATCGTGGTTTAGAACTTTCAGGTAGGAACGAGAGTTTTACCTGCTATTTAGAAACGTAAAAAAGGTTTGAAAGGCACAAGCTCCTCGACAGTTGTCTGAGAATGCAATCACATCCGGTTCGGCAAAAATACCACGGATGTTCCTCGAATGACTAATGTTTAAAGTTTTACTATAAAGAAAAAGATACCAAAAGATTATTTTACTTAAAAACAATTATATCTTTTATTTAAGGAATTATTTGCTCGGAAAAGGATTTGTGGAAAGATCAAAGAAAATTCGTTTTTAGTTGTTTTAAACAATTCGGAATGTCGAAAATTGGCGGTAAACGGGAAACGATGCAATCATTCATTTTAAAGGAAGTAAACGATCTCATTGATGTATAATAAACGCAAAAGAAATTGTTTTTTTTATTAAAAAATACTTTGTTTTAGTATATTAAACATTCTAAACCAACGTCAAATGGTGATATCATCTTAGACCCAAATCATATTTTAAAACATAACGTAGGATCAACTGTTCATGAAATCGTTTTTGGGACTTCTTATAATCGAGATGACAAAATTTGGAATTATTTACTTCATCTTCAAGAAGAAGGTACGAAATGTCTTGGAATTGCTGGACCTTTAAATTTTCTTCCTTTCTTAAGGTAATTAAAAGTTTTTATGCTTTATTATTT